TCAAATTCAAATGATTTTCCTCACCATGAGGGAGCCATGTGCAGAACTATGGTATCCATGTTGTCAACATATAGCCACTCCATTTAAAGATTTGATAGACCGGATCTGATCTCCAAGGAGCCACGAGCGCATCTCCTGCGTAAACCGTAACACTATTTGATCACATCAGCAACAAGCAAATCGGATACAACATTCCTGTTAACATGTGTGCACTGGCTTAGGAAATGGACGGCCCATGAGTTCATAGCACCTTGGCTGTGGATATTTTCTATTGATTACTCCAAAAATCAGCAAAGTTTGCTGCCTTAATTAACATCTGCCTCGCTTCTCCAGCTTTCGAAAGCTCCTTCTTCACAGCGTTTCTCGACGAAAATTTCCTTTCACTCTTGAGCACCGTCGGGTATCATCTACGGGCCGCAGTGCTCCCCATCGAGGCCAATTTCCCTGGATTTCATGGACCGCCGCGGCCGACCGAACAGGTGGTCCCTCCGCCCGGCTGCCTACATTTGCATGGAAAACCTTATGTCGGCTTTGAAGCAATTAGGAAATAGGTGCGCCCTAGATTTCAAGGTACTTTGTCGAATGTTAATTACATTAATCTGTCCGAAGACCTGAATATGTTTATGTGGTACACGTCACACCGTGGTGTGTCAGTTCGACACGAGTTCATCCTGTGACAAATAAGTTCACGGCATGATAACGCGACGTGACATGACACAAACAGCTATACAGTCAACACCTGCGTGTACATTTTGGGGCAGGGATGAACCACCGGCCGGCGCATCACGTGGCTCGACACCGCGTCCGGCGAAGCTGAAGAGGGCGAGACGCTCCCTTGTCCACCGCCTGCCGCCAGCTGCCACTCGCTCCCTTCGCTTATATGTAGGTGTGTGTGTATACATGGGTGTGTGTGTGTGTGTGTGTGTGTGTGTGTGTGTTGTGCGGTGTGTGCCGTGGTGTGTGTATATGTGTAATACTCATCTTCCGCTACGTGTACCGCCTCGTCCAAAAGTATGTCATTTTTGAAAAACGCCGTGAACCGTCAACATGCACCACATGACGTAACACACCACATGACACACCGTCATGAACATGCACCACGTGACGTAACACACCACGTGACACACCGTAATGGACATGCACCACCCAACCCTGAACTAGACTCTCCGTTTCAGCTGGAGTGCTGCGGCTTCACGGGCCCCAAGGAGTTCGCCTATACCAACAGCTTGTTGGACAGCACGTGCTACCAGGAGCTGCCGTCAGAGGGCGTGTACACGAGCGAGACACAGGCCCAGACCGTTGCAAGAACCTGCGGCAGGTGGGGGAACGCGGCGGTCGTGTATAGGTGGCAGCACTATGGCGCGGCGTCCCAGGCCGCCTGTGTCCCGCAAATGGTCGCTATTTGGTGTGTGGGTTTTAGTTTTCAACGCGCTGATGGCTCTACACATGATAGCTGCAATGCCTGCAGAACAAGCGAGACGTATAGACATGTGATCTGCAGTGGTTCATGTATGACACCAGAATACGTGGAAACGTTGCCCATGAGAAGCGGCATGCAATCGATGACATCTAACGGTCTTCGCGCTGCTTCACATTTTAAGTTATGGGACGTTGACGGAATGCATTTAACTCATTCAGCATATTATTACCTTTGCGTAGGCCCTGACATCCTTTTGCAGCTAACCGCACTGGAATATTCCTGCAGCGAGCCGGTGGGCAGCATATGACCTCCAGGCGTCCTTTTTCCCGGTCCCGGCGGAAGCACTCATGGAGCCACGTCCACACCGGCCGTGGTCACGTGTATTGCGGGAGTGGGTTTGCTGCTCATGTCGAGGGCACGCCTGTCTAGAAAAACGTGACGTCACTAGTGACGTCTCTGTCCTTGACACTACCCATCCGAGGTGACTGGTCCCACTATCACAAAACTAGCACAGGCTGCCTTCCCGATCATTGACCTCACAGGTCACAAAAAGGCGTGTGAACGTCACGAGTGCGTGTTTCCAGGACGGCTGCGGCATCCAGATGGAGCACTGGATTCGGGCCACAAGGTTGACCTGGGTTCCGGCACTGGCCTGCCTAGCCGGTCTGCAAATCCTCACCCTCTGCACCACCATGTTCGTGATCAAGAGGAAGCGCAAGACGCAGCGAAGCTCCCGTTCCAGCTCCACCAGACAGCTCCACGACTACCTCGAGTAGCGTCGGCTGGGTGTGATCGGTGTAACGAGTCGGAAGGCTACCCGGGTCAGTCTGCTGTTTCAAGGCGACCGTCGGGTGCAAAAGCCACTCTCCTGCACGGCTGTTGACGGGCCGAAGCCTGCGTCTCTGATAGGCTGGCGCCTGGTCATACCCAGGCCATGGCAGACTTCACCGTCAAGCCCTGGCAGGCTGGAGGCTTCTCCGTGGCAGGCCATGGCAGGCTGAAGGCTGCTCCACGGCAGGCCATGGCAGGCTGAAGGCTGCTCCGCGGCAGGCCATGGCAGGCTCGAGACTGCTCCACGGCAGGCCATGGCAGGCTGAAGGCTGCCCGGCAGCAGGTTATGGCAGGCTGAAGGCTGCTCCGCAGCAGGCTATGGCAGGCTGAAGACTGCTCCTATCATTGCCTTGGAGGGAACATGTACCCGAGTCTGCTCTCTGGTTTCTGATGACGGCTCACGTGATTGTGCAAATATGCCCCTGAGGCGGTGTCGGATGAGGGGACGGTCGGGCCGTATATGGGGGTTTTCAGGGCGTGGGCAACAGGACGGCTGCAGTATCCGTAATGCATGTCATTAGGGGTCATGTGCCCTACTGCGATCATGTGCCGCGATCATGTTTTTGCTGCGGTTACGTGACATGGCTGCAGAAAGTAGCGCACGGTCCGCTAAGGTCGAAGACGAATGACCAGCTAGGTAATCATGCAAAATATGCATCATGAATGATAGCTCTTCTCTCATAGAAGTATGCATTGCCGCAGGAAAGTGGTGCACATGAATGGTCGCAAAAAGACGTATCTGCCAACGTCGCTGTTGTCATAGTAACAATGATTGTCCATCGTGGTGGGCCGCATGAAATTTGTTTTTTATGTGATCATCGAGTCCGCGCATGGAATTCCAAACTCGTAACTAAGAATCGATAGTTATCTTTGACACAGGGTGTGTATGTCTGAGTTGGCGCGAGCTCGTGAGGGGTTGTGGGTAATTAAAATTGTGCGGGGCTGTGTTTAGGGAGATCGATGTCAGTAACCTTTGACAACCTAGCTGATGGTCATGGAAGCTTGTATTTATGTATAAATAAATCATCTCATTTTCATTTATTTCCTCCCATCGAAACCCAACGAATGATGCTTGCATTTATTGTGGCCACGTGGATAACATCTGAATGCATTTTGTTGTACAGCCTTGTGAAAACATGAATATAATCATTTCTGATCGACGGTTGTTCATGCGTTCACGAGTTGCACTGCCTGCTCTGGCCGTCGGTGTAAGATCGTTGGACGCCTGCTGTACGGCGGTATGGAAAGCCTGATTTCGCTCGCGTGATATTGATCGCAACGGGTATAACGCGGATGTGATTCGGTCGATTACCGATAAAATAGCAAAAGACACCGCTCGGTCATGGCAAACTTAAGCATGCATATATATATATATATATATATATATATATATATATATATATATATATATATATATGTATATATATAACTGATGCTTGTTAATGCTAGAATCTGTACGCTTACCAAGTTTGCGTATGCACTGCTAGTCTGGTCAAAACATAGCGATTGGCTAATACGTTATGGCTAACACGACAACCTCACAAATGAAGTTGTGGCATCTTGGATTAGCACTCTTCTTCGTTGCACCGCGATAAATCTGATCACGGTGGCTGTGAGTCACTTGATGAAATGCTGCAACATGCATGACATGGGTCATGCATGGCACGCGTGAACATTTGGGATGGCTTCGTCTTCTTCACTGGATCATGGCAAAGTCAGATGCAATGGAAAAATTCATCTGTATGTGCACATGTACCCACACTTTTCATATTTCCGGGTGTGAACATTTGGCCATGTTAGAGTCGACCTTGACTTGTACAGATCGTTTTGCCTTTTCCAATTTCAAGTCCTCGTCAACAGTCAAGCACAGTCTTTACTGAGCGGACGAAATTGGAGCTCAAGAGGAGAATGCGACGTAATCTATGCTTGCTGGAGGGCGTCCTACTCCACTGCAGGCACGCTGGTCCCGAAGCTCGCAGCTCTAAGACGAGCCGGGCGTCCTCTTCTGGCCATCAAGGCGCTCTTAATTCACAGCTTGGCGTCCGGAATCCCCGGCCGTTATTGATGGCGGCAGTCACCCGCAGACCAATATCCGAGGCGCATTCATCTCATGCAGTCGACAAGCCGACTTCATCCGACCGTACAAGGCGCCCCAGCTATTCCGAATGATGAACAGTCCGTCGCCTGTGTGGAACACGGGTCAGCTGGCGAGCAAGCCTGAGTTTTCGGAGGAGAAACGACTTAGTTCAGTGCGGCACCAGAGATTCGACGTTTCCCTACCACTTGATGCCGCTCTTCTGCTCGTGTGGAACACGGGTCAGCTGGCGAGCAAGCCTGAGTTTTCGGAGGAGAAACGACTTAGTTCAGTGCGGCACCAGAGATTCGACGTTTCCCTACCACTTGATGCCGCTCTTCTGCTCGGGCGTCCGTCGTCCGCGGCCGTAAAAACACAAGCTCTTTTTCACTTTTATTTGGGTTTTCTGTTTGGCGCTGACCCACGTGACCGGCTCGTCTAGAGCGACTCTGAGACATACGCGCTGGGGAGGGCGGGCAGGGCCGACCGCTCTCCCTAGGGGCAGCGGTGGCCCCCTGCCGGCCTGGCCACGCGCCACCATCACTCCACGACACTGACCCCAACAGGATCGACTCGGCACGAGGGAAGACGGAGCATGCTGCGGTTGGGGTGGGCCGGACGGCGCTCAAGGGACCGATGGACAATGACGGTAGCGAAGCGGTGGATTGTCGGGCCCAAATACGGTTGACTGTCAAACCGGATATAAATTATCAGACTGCGGACGAAAGCTGTGTTGGAAGCTGTATCCAGACGACCATCGTGGTCTATCAATGTCCTTTAAAATGGGTGTGTGCATTGCACCTGCACGTTGCATGATTTTTTATAGCGAGAACCAACAGCACCGGGCTCTGTTCAGCATATAATGTGTTCAGGACTGTGGACAGCGGCAGCATTGCTGCGTTCATAACGCCAGGGGGCGTGCTGATCCGAAAGCTCATCAAACAACAGCTGATCACATCAGGCGGAAAGCGAACAGCCGCCAGCCGCCATACCAGCAGCGTGTAAACGTCACAGTCGCGTGAAACCGGGGACGCACGGCCGAGCCGGCGCGTCGCACACGCACGTCACGTGCGTGATAAGCCGGTGAGCGCGTCACAGTCAGCTGGGCGTCGGTCGGCCGGTGACCGCGGCCGCCGCGTCCGGGGCGCGGTCGGGCCGGGCAGGGGTATCGACGTCGCCGGCGGAGGATGTCGGCTGGCGGCCGGGAGCGCAGAGGCTGTATTGATCGGCGGGCGGCGGGCGGGCCGGCGGCGGGCACCAGCCTGCCGGCACGTCAGCCCGCCCGCCCGCCGGCCGGCCGGGCCCGGGCCGCGGCGCGGCGAGCGGCCACGCCTCTCCGGGAGGACGCTGCTCACCCACCGGCCACAGTCACGGCACGCCAACTGGGGCACCACAGGGAGGGGAGGAAAGGATGCTGCGATTCTGCAGTTCGTAATTCGAAATTCGATTGATTCGCATTAAAAAGATTAGGTCCAGCAAAATGAACACCAAAGCTCCATTGCTGTTATTTGAACTTTGTCCCATGTAACGCACTGCAAATAACCCACGACAAAGGCCGCAAAGAGCCGAACGATGCCCGCAGAAAAAATGGCACGTAGTTGTGATACCTCGCCCATCTTTCCATGTAAACGATATTATCAGATTTTCGGGTCTGGAATCGCCCGAGGAGTGCTTCAGCGCTTGGCCAGGCCCTGGTATTGATTCCAGCCGCCCGCCGTTCGCTCATCCTCCCGCACTAGCTCACCTTAGATATACAAAGTACACAACAGGACACCAAGCATTCTACACTGGACATCACAACATGGCACACCATCACATTCAACAGAGGGAAGACTTGCTTGCACTAGCTCGCAACGCTGGAAGCCGTAGTCCGGCGGCACTGCCACCAGCGCGTCGCGTCCGCGCTTAACACCTGCCGCCAGCGTGAATGTCGCTGGCCGACATGGAAGACTCGGTTTCCCAGTCTGGAAGACTCAGTGTGGAAGACTCGATTACTCAACGTGGAAGACTCCGTTGCCCACCGTAGATGACTCGGTTTCTTGTCGCGGAGTATAACTTCACGTGCAGTCGTGAAGAACTCACCTGCGCCGGGTGGCGCGACCGCTCAGAAAGGCAGCCCAATACGATAGGCCTCGACCAGGGCGCGTCCTGACGTGTAGATGCCGCACAGTCCAAACAGGCAGCCGAGGAAGATCACGAACATGTCGTAGCCCCGGGTGAACCAGGAGAGGACGTCCCACTTGAGCTTCAGATGGAAGTAGCAGGGCCAGATAAAGCTGAGCATGACTCCAGTAATGCTGCCGATGAACCCCATCAGGATGGCGAAGTGTGGGATGATGGCGGCCATGATGATGGTGAAGACCACCACCAGTACGCGGAAGGCTAAGCCAAAGGTGCGTAGCTCACCATCCAGGGCCCAGATCGACGGCATCACAGTGTAGGGCCGACCCTTGAAGTAGGTTCTCTCCAACAGCTCGCAAGCGGCGTAGTACGGCAGCGGGTATGACAGCAGCGCCTTGACCACCAGGAAGAAGTTAATGAGCTGCTTGAAGCTCTGTGATGGCAGGTTGTTGGTGATGACCTCTTGAGTGGCGCCCTGCCAGGTCAGAAAGCCAATGTAGCCGAACAAGGACTTGAACGCGGCGGCGGCGATGTGTGACCAGTTGAGCATGCACTCGAACCTGCCAGGGTCGCGCATGTTGCCCTCCAGCGACGGCAGGAATATCTGCGACGTGTACGAGAACACGATGATGCCCAGTCCGATCGGGAAGTGCAGGAAGTCGATGCGAAACTTCACCTGGGACCAGCCCCACTCGCCGGCCCAGGAGAGGCAGTAGCCGAAGATGAAGATATTGATGACCAGGTGCGCCATCGTGCACCAGAAGCTGAGTGTGCTGACGTGGGTGCAGGTTCTTCAGGAAGCCGCATGGGATGAGCAGCATTCCGCACAGCATCATCCACGAGCGCGTGTCGATCTGACCTTGCGGGAACATGCCGATCAGGAGGTCACCGCACAGCACCACGTACAGAATGCAGGTCATGAGCAGCTCGATCAGCTGCGCCACGTTGACGATGCGTGCGCCCCAGCGCGGTCCGAAGCACATCTTGGCGATGCTGACGTAGCTGTCCCGCACGCGCACCAGCTGACCGTCGGGCGTCTCCTGCGGCGGCGCACAGCCCAGAACACAGGTCACGTCTGAGTGTGTGATCCAGAACACGAGGGTCAGGTCTGGGTACGTCATTCAGAACACATGGGCCACGCCTGAGTGTGACCGAGAACATAATGACTACCTCTGAGTATGTGATCCCCAACGTCCCAACGCATGGGTCGCGTCTGAGCGTGTGATCCAGAGCATAATGGTTACCTCTGAGTATGTGATCCCCAACGCATGGGTCACGTCTGAGTGTGTGACCTGGAACATATGGGTTGTGTATGAATGTGTGTGATCCAAACCGTTTGGGTCACGTCTGAGTGTGTTATCCGGAACACATGGGTCACGTCTGAATGTGTGACCTAGAACACATTGTTCACGTCCGATTGTGTGATGATCCAGAACGCATGGGTGCTGTCTGGGCACGTGATGTGGATCACATGGGTCACGTCTGAGTAAAAAATGCAGAAGCATGGCTTACGTCAGACTGTGCAATTCATAACGCATGGGTCACGGCTCAGTGTGTGATACAGAACGCATTGGTTGCACTGAGTGTTCGATACAGAGCGCATGGATAGTAACTTGCGTTACTTTCGAGGAGCTACTGAGTGAGGAAAGTAGCTAACGGGAACGGGCGGGGATAGGGGTGGGAAGGCTCAACGGCCAATCCTTCTGAGTCAAGACGTTTGCATTACACACTGATCAACTACTAAATTTTACAGAAATTCGATCTTAATTGGCTGGAGTTTGGAGAAAATTGAAACCTGTACCTCTCCCTCCCTTGAGAAAATTCTGGACAAATGCCTGTCTGAGAGTGTGATGCAGAACGCAGGGCCACCTGTCAACGGCACCGCGAAGGGGCAGGTCACGCTTGAGTATGTAACGCAGGTGTGGTGTCAAGCGAGGGTCCGGCACAAAACCGTGGTTTACACATGGGTCGTTTGCGGGCTCAACGAAGGGCGCATTGATCACGTGTGAGTATCACACAAAACGTACCAGTGACGTGCGGGTTTGATGCATGACGTATGGTGCATAGGTGGGCACGGTTCGTTACTCTGCTGTTTGATTACGAGATAGAATTACCTTTCTAGTTGCAGAGCAACGGGCTCATGACTTTAAGTGTAAAGGACTGAGTAACTTGCGTTACTTTCGAGGTCCGTTATCCCTTGCATTTTAGTCCGTAACTCCGTTGCTCTGTTACTTTTGGCCTTAACGCGCAGATGTAGAGGAATAATGATACCGACAGAAGGAAAACGTCCTGCTTTTTTCGCGTGTCTCGAGCTTCCAGGTTCTGGAAGCCATTAAGCACGACTAACTGTGTTCCAAATGGTACAAATTTGAGCTGCAGGAGGGCGCTTTGTTTTTCGAGGAACGACCTTTGTAAGGCATTGCATGAGGAAGGAGACTGAACGTAGATGGTGCCCCTTTGTTTCGGAAGAGCACTCGCAAAACATAAAACAATAACAATGTCAGCGCACGCACGTGCATTAGACACGAATGACCAATGCCGGGTGGAAACGGAGGTTCGGAGGCTGCTGGCGCGCGACGGGCCACAAGGTTTGGCACCAACATCGGCAAAATGTTGCTTGGTGTTCCACGTAAGACTGGTCACGCCCAGGAGGTAGTGCTACCTGATCTGTGGCACCTGGATGTGTAGCAACACTGGCAGCGCCTCGCGCCGTTACCCGCCGTCACCGCTCCGCGCAGCACCCCGCCACCGCCACCTCAAACACTTTGGTCTGGGCCATATGTATGTCAGTGAGTCTGATCACAGAGCAAGGAATTGGACGAACCAAGAACTTGCCCTTTGATTGCATGTGAGTCATCTTCCATCCAGCGAATTGCCTCACGTAAATTATCTCCAAACTCCTGCGAATTTGGGTCGAAATCTGCGAAATCACTCAATCTTTACTGAAATCTTTTGGTTCAGGACAATATATATATATATATATATATATATATATATATATATATATATATATAGGTGTGTGTGTGTGTGTGTGTGTGTGTGTGTGTGTGTGTGTGTGTGTGTGTGTGTGTGTGTGTGTGTGTGTGTGTGTGTGTGTGTGTGTGTGTGTGTGTGTGTGTGTGTGTGTGTGTGTGTGTGTGTGTGTGTGTGTGTGTGTGTGTGTGTGTGTGTGTGTGTGTGTGTGTGTGTGTGTGTGTGTGTGTGTGTGTGTGTGTGTGTGTGTGTGACACAGAACGCAGAGCGCAAATAATCTTTAAAAATTTTGACGACAATGTTTGCAGGAATGGTGGGATGGAATAGAAATGAAAATTTCCAACACATGCCACTGCAATAACCTTTACCAACGGTGCAATGCAAGTTCAATATAAAATTTATGCTTTGGCATTTGTAAAAGCGTGTCTAAAATGTCACGTGACGTGCAACGCCGTGATACGCCCATCCGGCGGTCAGGCAGGCACTCTTAAGACCATTTGCCAATTAATCGTTTTTGACAAGTCGCAGACGATGCTTCTGGGGAGCGAGCCCCCGCCACTGCTCAGCAAACTGCATAATGAGATATCCGGCATTCCACCAACTGCGCTTCGTGGACAGCCTCCAAATGAGTATATGAGTCACGTGTAAAACGCACGCAAAATGTATGTTGCGCATTTAGGTAAGACGCAGAACGCTCATTAAAAAACGTCAAGTGTGGAGCTTGATTCAAATGAATGAGTGACGCATAGGATTACGAAACTCCAGCATAGGAGTTTGAGTTTGAGTCACGTGCAGGGGTTTGAGTAGCGACTCAGAAGGTACCCGCCACGCGAAGGTCTTACTCAAAGCTCTTGTGGGTGTGACACAGCAGATGGACCACGTTTGGGCGCGACCCAACATGAACGGCTCACGAATGAGTGCGACGCAATGTGGGTCACATATGGGTGGCCTAAACGTTGGGGTCATGTATGAGTGGCGATCGGGGGATGGCAGTCCCTTGTAAATGTCACGCAAAGTGTTCGTTACGTGTGAGTGCCACGCCGAGCGCAGGCACCAAGTGAGTGTGACACGCAGCGTCTGTGTTGCATGTGGTCGTGATGCCAGACGTGCGGGTTACGTGAGGGTGAGACTCAAAACGTATGTGTCACGTGTGAGCGTTATGCAGAACGCACTAGCCATTCTTGAGTGTGTCGCAGAGCTTACAGGCTACATGTGCGTGATGCAGCAGTTTTGCGTGCAAAACACTGCAGCTCAGCTGACCGATGTGGACATCCGATCACTGGCGTCGTGACAACCGGGGTTCGTTTCCAGAAGACAACGCTTAGCATGCGCATTCTGGGATGCAAGCTGGCAACTGTTCCAGAGTGGTCGTCATGATGTTGTATGGCAGTATCGCTTGATAAAGACTCCGACGAAAAAAAAATGTACTGGAAAACGGAAGTCCTGCATATGTTGCAACTCTTGGTAAGTTGCATCATGTAGCTCCGCCCCGTCCACATACCTCATACAGGCAATCCACCAGAATTTTCCCGGTGTAGCAGCAGATGTAAGCGACGCCAATCATGGCGACGATGGCCCAGTAACCTCCGTGGAGCACTGTGTACGGCAGCGAGACGATGAACATGCCCTGCAATAGGACGGGGCGCGTCACTAGCGGCCCATGCCACCGGACCAGCAGCCGTCTGCCCTGCTGGTCACTAACCGAGCGCGTCACTGGCGACCCATGCCACCGGACCAGCGCCCCGCTGGTCACTGACGAATGCATTGTAACAGCTGACGCCATTGGCGCCGGCACCCGCCACTCCTTAGAGGCTCGGAGCCCATGAAAGCTGCCTGCGGCGGGAATCGATCCCGGAGCTATCCACCGGTAGTCCGGCGCCGATTCAAGCTGAGGTGTTTGCTGGGTCACTGACTGCATGTCACTGCTGAGCCACAGCTCTGGTTAGATGGACAAGGAGTGTCGCTGTGCAGTCAGAGGACAGGCCAGGGTGAGCCGGTGTTGGGCCAAAGGACGGGACAGATAACGGCAATGACGGACCGGATAGGAGAGGGAGCTCCAGTGATACACCAGAGGACAGGAAAGGGAGTGCCAGTGACGGATAACAGGAGAAGACAGGGAGTATCAGTCACGGACCAGAGGGCGTGAGCAGGCCAGTGAATGACCAGAGGACAGGACAGAGAGCGTCGCTGACGGACCAGAGGACGGTACAGGGAGTGTCACTGACTGATCAGAGGACGACACAGGGGACGTCAGTGACTGGCCAGAGGACGACACAGGGAGCGTCAGTGACGGACCAGGGGACAGCACAGGGAGTGTCACTGACTGACCAGAGGGCAGTGCAGGGAGTGTCACTGACTGACCAGAGATAGTGCAGGAAGTGTCACTGACTATCCAGAGGGCAGTACAGGGTGTGTCACGGACTGACCAGAGGACAGCACAGGGAGCGTCTGTGACAGACAGGAGGAGAGAACAGGGAACATCAGTCGCCGGCCAGAGGGAAGGGCAGAGAGCATCAGTGATGGACCGGAGGACAGTGCAGGGAGCGTCACTGACAGACCGGAGGTCAGTACAGGGAGCGCCGGTGACTGACCAGATGACAGTACGGGGATCGTGACTGATTGGCCAGAGGACAGGTCAGGGAGCGTCTACGATGTACCAGACAGGAGAGGGAACATCTGTGACGGACCAGACAGGAGAGGAAGCGTCAGTGATAGACCAGACAGGGGAGGGAGCGTCAGTGATGGACCAGAAACCAAGGCAGAGTAGCGTCAGTGACAAACGGGAGGAAGCGGTGAAGAGCGTCACTCATTATCTGATGGGCCGATGCGTTGTTGTAGAGCGCTCCGCGTGATAACGCTTGTCAAACTGGCAGCATATTCAGATCCATATTCGGGCCGAGATCCGGGACTTTGACCTGCTACGATCCCGAAATAGGACATGCCCGGCTCAGCTCTTGTGCCCGCCGGGTGAGTCGGTCGATATCTATTTTTACGCGAGTTTTCCAGGGCATCAAAAAACGAGGGAATCCAACTGGAATGATGCGATGTTAGATCGGTTACAACACCGTTGTTCAGTGAGGGCAATGGGACCAGGGGGGAACGCGCGTAAAGGCCTTATTTTTATGTTCACTGGGATCGGAAAATCACGCTTCAGCTGTGTGCAGACTTTCAGGCAAATCAGAAGTCCATTGTCGGCCAGATATCGATCCGAATACGATTTTGAATATATTGCCAAAAGTGCCGAGCGTCACATACTGGTGCATGTATGCGGGGACCACCGTACCTCTATAAGGCGTCACCCGCCGGACATACCGGCTTATACGGCGACGACATATCGCCTCACACAGCAGCCGGCAAGTACAGCTTGCGGCAGATAGCTTCTGACCAAGCTCGAGGCTGCAGAAATGACTGACAGGGTCCAGGGGAGTACAGCCAAGACTTGTGCAGGAGAATGACAGCACGCTGGCATAAGCTGCACAAAATGTATCGCTGGCATCACAACTGGGCCCCAAAGAAAGACAAGACTCGTAAAAATTGGTGAAGGGCACGAGCCTCCAAATCATGAGTAAATCTTCATTCATGGCTGCTGTCGATCTTTCGCGCGAAGCATTTTCGCGTGTGAAATACGCATGCCACCTTTCCCGACTGTCCTCAAACCCCCGCGAGAGCAGGCCTGCCCGCACAGCACGTCAAGACGCAGTGGCAAGAGCGCCGCGAGCGCGCAAACGGCTTGCTATCTGCACCAGGAACCCACCACCTAGTGAAGCACACTCAGCTCAACGGATGATATCACGCAGTGCCCTTAGTCTAGAAATGCTCGCGAGACAACGTGTTGGGGCGTAATGATTCAACACGACCGGGCCGCATAGGCATCATTACATCATGCAAGCTGGCCCTCAGCGACCATTGCTCAGCACGCGGTCTTGTGCTGCACCGACTCAGCCGGACCGTTCGCCTTCCTGGGGCTGGAGCCAACCAGCGCGGGACACATACCCTCGACATCGCCGCGTCAGCTCCGGGGGTACCGGCAGTAACCCGAACTGCTTACGGCCAGGCGACGCTGGTGATGTGCCACGGTTTTGTTATTGGAAAGGAACGCGACACGCGCCATCGAGCACCCATTTCACGCAGCGCCAGCGAATACAAAGGTCATATCAGCGTTCAGGGGCCATGGCACAACCGGTGTTTGAACCTGGCCCTCCACGTGGAAGCCCAAGACGTTAGCTAGGTCGCCTTTACGCCCTTCCAACCCACCTGGATGGCGTTGGTGACGTTCCAGCCGGCCTGCCACTCGTCGATCTTGTCGCCCGACAGGCCTTCGCCGCTCGCCTCCTGGCCGCCGCCGGCCGCTCCGTTGACGTGGCCGCCATCTTTGCCAGCCATAGCGGCCAGCTCCGTGTCGCCAGGGCGGCGGCCATACTTGGCGAAGTGCAGGCTCTCATCGGCGCCGGCCAGGCACGAGTCCGGCAGCGCGGCGCGCACCCGCGCCCAGGCCGCCGCCACGTGCGGCCCCAAGTTGGGCAGCAGCGGCATGTCACAGCGGCGCGGCTAGGTGACCATGCTGCGGCGCCGCGCGGCCGGCCGTCGTGTGCAGGGCGCGGCCGCCCGCCGGCAGCGACGCACGCCGCGCGGCGCCGATCAATGGCGGCGCGACGCCGCCCCGGGGCCACTGGACGGGGCACTGGGGTCAGAGCGACGCCACCCCGGGCCCACTGGACGGGGGACGGGCGACGCCACCCTGGGCTCACTGGACGAGGGTCTGGGGTCAAAGCGACGCCGCCCCGGGCTCACTGGACGGGGGTCTGGGGTCAGAGCGACGCCACCCCGGGCTTACTGGATGGGATATTTCTTCCTCAAATTATGATAAAATGTATTGCTTTTAATCGTTTGCTTGACAGCATTCTGTGCTACAGATTTCGTTGCATTTTCGTAGCGCAAACCATAGCTGCCAGTGGCTGTGTTTCCCTGAACACAAAGTACGGACCAAACAGAATTTAGCCGGCATGCTTTCACTGGCCGGAACCCTTGGTTACCGGCCGGAATCTTCCGCGGCAGTCCATAATTTCACTGGCCGGAACCCTCGGTTACCGGCCGGAATCTTCCGCGGCAGTCCATAATTTCGCTGGCCGGAACCCTCGGCTACCGGCCGGAATCTTCCGCGGCAGTCCAAAAGTCGCGCACATCAACTTACACACTTTATTCCCGAAGCTGCACACGACCAACACACCTAAAGCTGCATACCATCGACCTTACCTGATTGTAACTTCGAATGATGATGAAATAATCGTTACATTGATTACTGCACTACGGCCTTGACCATCGACAACCAACGAAATTATAATGGCGTCCCCACAGGACATTCCGCCATGACAGAGGGAGAAAACGTAGTGGAGGCGTAACCATTTAGACTACCGCCAACTTACCTGTGCTGTTCACCCCATATCACAGCTTCGAAGTAAAAAGTGAGTGGGTCAAGCTGTGGCTGGATCGAATTTGCAGTGTAGTGATTGGCTGCTTAGGCCGTCACGTGACAGCGCCGCATTTTCCATGGATTTCAACCATGTTGAAGGCTAATTGCAGGCTGTAGTGGATGCTGACCCTGACGTAGCCGATGGATAACATGTCAAATAGAACGAAATGAGACGCACAGAGCCTCAATATCCGACTGAAAAGAATGTTAGGTTTTTATAGATTAATCGTGAAACTGCACTGTTGAGAATACAATTTCCATACCAACAACATTTTTCCGAACTTCAAAGCACAAAAATATGTATCATACAGGCAGTAGTCGTGCAGCCCAAAAGCGGCTTTCATGTCGACATCTCTATTCGTTCTGACCACGTCGTTGGTGCAGTCGCCTAGTTCTTGTGCCAAGCGTAGGTGGGCGGTTCTTGGGCAAGGTCGACTTTGGCAGGTTTTATCGGTTCCTACTCAAGCGATGAGGCCATCGGAGGGTGATTGTCCTGCTCCGGTAATAGCACTGCGTTAACGAGCGCCTGCGGCGGTGGGGTCGCGGAAATAGTCGGCCTTTAGACAGCATATTCGGCCTGTTGGTCCACCCCGAGGGCACGGCCTTGACCCTGGTCGCCGCCGAAGTAGTCCTCTGACCTCCGTGCCCGAGAAATCAGGGCTGCCCCGCTGTATGCACGCGCGCTGTGGCGGGGATTCCGACAGCAAGTGCGTAGTTAAGACTGCCTCGTAAGAATTGCGGAAATGGAACCTCTGCCTTGTACAGCGTACAATGTACACGGTCGGTGGTGATCATGACAATGTTTACTGCAGCATGCTGCACGAGGATGAGCCCGGCATTGATCACAAACTCTCCGAATCAGCTCCAACGAACGGATGTGGCGCCCCGGCACTACATCGACCATAGCATGCTTCCTTGGCTATTTCTTTGGCACTTGTCTCTGCTACCTTCAACATGTGACGTAACAGAACATCTACTACAGCTGGTGGTCACTGCCGACTGAACGCCATTCCGACGCATTTTTCACCCGGCAAGCAGTGGGGTGCGTTCCTGGCAAACTTCAAACCGCTGCTTGACAAGCATGCCCCAGAGCGGGGAGTCCAGATCTTCAGCCTGACCAGGCGCCCTGCGTCTATCGCGACCAGACGACTGACAGCACAGCGATGTGCCCTCCGCACTCCGGCGCGATGTACAGCCAACTGAACCGTCGGGAGTGTGCAGCCATACAAATCAACCGCTGCGAAGATGTGCAATGACGCGTCGGGTGGGCCATGTCCGGTGGAGTGCACCGCATTGTCCAAAGCGTCGTCGGTAGAATGGAACCATGGCCAACAGCGTTTTTTTTTCGTTTTTCAATACAACGGCCTCCCGATAGGTGTGAAAAATCGGTGTGATGCGTACTCATTGAGCGTTAGGGTCTGCAATTGAGAAAACGCTGGCTGCCTCCCTGCTGTTACCCATTGCATGTGAGTATCCATGGCTTTACCCAACGCGTGAAGTTCACTGCTGTGCTCTCGGGAGACAGCAGTCGATCAGAGGCACAATCTCACAGAGTTGATGAAGACGACTGTACCCTTACAGTTAGACACACACACGCAACATAACCTCGCTCACCGTTCGCTAGCCAATAGCAGCGTTTTACAGGGCCCTGATGCCCTTCACACGGTCGGTTGACCGACGGCTCGGGCAACGGGCCGCATGGCGCCAGGCGGCGATCCGGCGGCTGCCGGGACGTCCCGGCGGGCCAGCCGGGCAGGAACACGCCACATCCCCCTCCGCGGCGACCGAATCGATGACGTCGTCACAGCTGGAGACGGTCTGGTCGCCGCCCGCCAAGTTGACTGCGTCTGACGCCGCCCCCGGGGGCAGGTCGGCAAGGTGAAGGGGTCGACCGCTCCTGAGCTTCATCAGGGCCCTGCAGAGTCAGGAGAAGAAAACAACAATTTCTCCACCCAGAGAACTTTACCGCTGGGCGACTTGATGTAGTAGTCACGTCTGCGACTAACGCCGATGGCGGTTCCCACGCATCCCACAGCTTGTTGCGGGGATCTTGCATGCGAACCTCTGTACCGTCCCTCAGAGGTGGCAGAGTTTTGGCGGTCCAGCAGTAGTAGCTAAAACCTGTGCTCTTCAGTGCTGCTGCTTCGGAGCCGCAGTCAGCTGCGCTGCCACTCATGAGAGAATAAGCGGCGACCGGCAGGAACATGGGAACAGAAGGGATGGTCGTAAACGACCTGAGCTGGGAGCGACCATCAGCCCGGGCGTGTTCCGAAGTTCCAGAAGGCCTTCATAATAAGCATCGGTGTTGAGTTCTCCGCTATGGCACGTCGTCTGGATGAGCGCGTTGACGGCCAGGACTCCAGCGTGCCCATGTGACTGTGCGTGTCGGGGCGTTGATTGTTTCAGCCTCACTACTCAACGTCAGAAGAATCTCTTGGCGTCGCATCTGGAGAACCGAGGACCTCAGTCGGAGCGGAAGCGGTTTGGAATGCCGAGATCGGCGAATGCCTCTCTGATGACCTGGATCAGCCGGCCGGCTCGAGTGTCTCCTCTGGGGAATGCAAAACTGACAGGCCATCCGAGGCTCTGTCCCTGTAGACTAGGAAATGATGATCAGCATGGAAGAACAGGTCTGCCGAAACTTTCTCAAAGATGCAAGATGGTGGAGAGGCAGTCATTGGTTCGGGCGGCGCAGCTGGCAGACCTCACAGCTGTCCATCAGTTTCTTGATTTTTGAATCTAGACCACCAGACAACCTGCTGTCTGACGCGTCTCTTCATACGCCTAGTCCCCTGATAAGCCGCGTGGAGGCTGCCAAGAATTTGGGGTCTAGCAGCAAGCAGTATGACGATCATGGGGCTTTCCAGCGCGAGGCTGTCCACAGCAGAGAAGTCTCCTCGGATCGTTTAATATGGCTGCAGATCGACGTCCAGAAGCTGTTTGGGTGACGGCCAGACTTTCTGGCCGTGACAGAGCAGCCCTCGGTATGCCGCGTCGCTAGATGGCATTGTGGTGAGGTCCTCAAATCGAAGGCTCTTGAGATGCTCTGGCGCCTCTTCGTCACCGGAGAACAGCGTGCCTGCCACATGCCGCACATGCATCGCGTGTACGCGATGTCAGAGCTGAAATTCGTCAGCTGCTGAGCCATTCCCGTGAATCAACGCAATACGGTGATGTTGGAGAGTGCGGGAAACCAGCGATAACTCTCATCTTGGGCGGGTTTGCTTTCGCGCCTCGATGGAATACTTGATATCCGTAGTAGTCTACTTCTGCTTCTGCGAAGACGAATTTCTCCCTCTTCAAGATGCTCTTCTACTCCCGGCAGCGCTGCAGAAGGACTCGGAACCGCTGAGTGTGGACTTCAAAGTTCTCGTCGAAGACCAGCACGTCGACAGCCACCTTGACGATGTTGTTGAGACCTTCGATAGCGATGTCTCCCCTGCGGCAGACCTCGCCTTTGGTTGAAATGAGGCCCATGGGTGCCCTGGGGAAACGAAAGCGACCCCACGGCGTGATGAAAGTGGTGAGATACCGGCGGTCTGCGTCCAATGGGAGTTGTCGGTAACCCGACGCCGCGTCCACAGACGTGAAACAGCGGCGCTCTGCAGGTATTGCTGACACCGTCCCCTTCGGTGTGACGAGAGGGTGCAGTGATCGCTTGACGAAGGAGTTCAGCTTGGAGAGGTCGACGTAGACACGAGGATCTCCCGACGCCTTGGGAACGACCACCAGTGGCTGGCACCATTCTAATGGCTTGTCACTAACCGCTTCGATTATGTCCCTCTGAACCAAACTACCAATATCCTTCCTAATTTGTGGTCTCCAAGCAAAATGGATCCTTCTTGCGGCCCTGACAGCAAAGGTTTGTACTTGCTGCTTCAGATGGATCTGCATGGATACGCCAGCCATTGCTGGAGGAAAACCACCTGCGGAGAACCCATCAGCGAACTCTTCCACAATGTCCTCTTTTCATTCCTGATTTGTCGCGAAGAGACGTTTGCTCGGCCACAGGTGCCAACAGCAGGTTTGCTGTAAGTTATTGCTTCGCTTGTCCGTTCTACCTTGGAATATGGCGGACAAGGTTGAGGGTAATGATGAGGCAGGATATCTATACTCTTGGATGCGTACCAGGAAAAGAACATACCCAGAGCCTCACGGCAGACGTGGAATGTCTAGAGAGTTGTCCTGCTCTGGAGAGTGATGCTGGTACGGAAGGAGCCGACGCACGACACGGGTTGATCGCTCGCAGCTACCGTGCCTTGCTACCACCATGCTCAAGATTCTTGATGTAGTCCGGTAGGCAGATAAAATCCATATTCGGATGCCATGTCAACTGAACGCAACTGGCGCAGTGCAAATACTGCGTCACGACCAGCAATGTCGGTCACATTAGTGCTCGTGCCGCTCCTCCTCTCTGGTCAGTCAGTAAGCCGACAATAGGGTCACCTGCAAGGAACGTGCCGTCAACAGCGACACCCCATAACAATCTTACCAGGTGCACTTCCTGACCAGGGGCGTAATCTGTACCCTTGCATATGTACCAAGCAATCCCTTATATTGTGCTGCATTTTGTGTATAAATAATCATTTTGATCATTATGGGTTCAAGGCTTCTGTGTTGAGCTAACGGCATTAAGCATGCATGCTTTGAGTGCTGTAGGATTTAGGGTGGTTAAATCGCGCTTGGGCGTGCAAGCGTGAACCATCCCATAAGACGATATAATATTATACAGGGTAGTTGTCCTGAAGCATTTTGCTGGTTCTTTGCTCTCATCCCAATCTCTGGCAAACCAAAATATGATGCATGCCTAATATTTCCATATAAGACGGACTACCTCAGTGTTGGCATTCAAATGTGCCCAATTCAGAGATTCATGGAATTAAAAAACGGACTTACTCTTGCCATGCCCTTCAACGTTTTCGTCTAGATTTCCACCCACAAAGTCACATCTCACCAAGATCGTTGTATGTGCTCCAGAATTCTACCTTCCTTTTGCAAAACTGCAATTCTGCGGCGAAACTTAATGGAAAAAGTTGAGTGTACTCTAACGCTCCGCACATTCCCCCGCCCATTGACCTCCATGACATTGGCCAGCGGTCTGCGGTATGCTGCCGCCGGCCGCAGACCATCCAAATCAGAGGTCAAATAGCGAGCAGGCATTGGCGCAGCCAAGATCGAGCATGCAGAGATCCTCCCCGACTCCACCAGTAGTTCTACGTGATGAGATCTCACTTGGTTACGCTCCCCCTTCGTCTCTGATTATCCTGACTGTGCCCCCGCGAGTGCGGACATGGCGACTTGAGCCCACAAACCGCCACGGGTGGGTTGGGATCGCCAGGAGCTGACAAAAATTCAGCTACGAAGGGCAAAAAGCTTTTCTTTTGTTACGATTTGAACCATTTTGTTGATTGTTCAAAACCTTCCACATGTAATCGGACGCCCTGACCATGATGTCTGGGAGGTTCACTATGCCAGATTGCGGTAGGCACCATTGGTGAGTACGGCCTTTCTGGTGCTAAATCGGTCATTTCAGCTCATTTATTCATCTGGTGATCAGCGTTGGTATTTTGGTGATGGAAGTGGACATTCTGGAAGACCAATTCATTTTGTCCGCGGAGGAGATTACTGGGATTTAGATGCATTACAACGGTGTTGTGAAGCGTTCGTCGTTCATTTCACAATATCTAAAAATCGTGAGGCTCCTCAATATGGGACTCATATTTTTTTCTTTGAAAATTATAATCGAATAAGAAAATTTTGTTGCAAATACACATAACTGTTTCAACTACAAAATAGAGAGCTTTTCATTTTTAATTTTGCTTACGACGAACATGACTACAAAAACTCACATGTCGCCCGCTTGGAAAACGTGACCCGGCAGCAGCCTTGTCGATGACAGGGGCCAGCCCCAGGGTGGCCTGGTCGGGCGTGCGGTTGGTGGTCGGACAGTGAGCGCAGTTGATAGCTGGTCGTGATACAAATGCTGTGGGTGCTAGCTGATGGTGCAAATGTAAGCTATTGTGAGCACTATCACAAAACGTTGGCTTGACGACCTTGGTGGAGCCTGGGGAAGACTCGCTTGCCGTTACCATGGATGATTGTAGTCTGGATGTTCCGAAACAGGTATGGTTTGTTGCTATTACGGTGTTTGGTGAACTCATCATGCTTTATCCATGACTTTCTCGACTTGTTTTTATTCTGTAGTGTACGTTATCTTTACGAGTTATCACCGAAAAATTAAAACATCCTCATCAATTCGTCCGGTGGCAAGATTTTATTCATGTTCCATGCATCCCAAGAAGGAAAGCCCAATTTCAGACTCAAATTCAATTGCCATAACTGAGCTGGTCGCAGATGAATGCTGGTGGTGGCATTTTTGGTGGACTTAACCTGTTAGGGAACATTTCCAACATGTATGTCAAGGTCAGGTCAATTTAAGTGTGCTATTCAAGATACCTTTAATAGTACATGGAACTGTCCCCATACATAATGGGGCAGTATCAGCACATATTGGCTCTGTGCCAATGTGCATGCTGATTATCACTGTTAATATGTTTGCATTGATGACCATGCATTCAAAGGTGTGGAGCTAGAACCCATGGTACAGCAATACCATTAATGTACATGCATCATAATCCAGATTCCAATAAGCCTATGCGAGGTTCCCAAATGGGAAGCCATGGGACCCCAGGACTCCCACTTTATTGCATCTTTGTGTGTGAAATGTCATGCTATACCAAGTTGCTTCTCTAGTCAGCAGCCATGTCAGCTTCAACTTTTTTGCTCCATTTTTATGCTTTTTCCCTATGATAAATGCAGGCTAGTTTTTCTGGGTTATGGCTTTTGCTGAATGATCTTAATTTTTCCCATTTTGGGAAGACTTATTGCTGCACTCCAAGGATCAGGAAAGTATAAAAGTTAAAGAAGTCAAATCCTCAAGGCTGTAAGGAGTTCTTACACATGTAGATTTGGTGCCCTGGATATTTTTCTGTCAAATCAGGCTTGGAGTATATTCTACCAGCCCTACCAGCAATATTCATGCTTTCTTGCTTACCACAGCACTAACTTTGTAGACCAATAGCACCAATATTTCTCTTGTACTATTTCTTAACTTTCAAACATAGTGCCAGGCTCACAGCAGAATGTGAACATAAAGGTCACATGGGCCCTTTCTTTTCATGTTGATACACGTAGCAAAGCACAGGGGTAAATTTTGTTTCCGCCATTCATTCTGCCCCTTCGCACCAACCTCCGTGTAAAGTGTGATTTCCACCGTCAGAAATCCCGCGGATTCCCGCTCCCTCTCATCAATGACTTGACCTACCGAATTAGTTCCGATAGCTCATATTAAGGTTCGTAGTTCATTTTTTGTGCTTTTCTCTTATCGCTGCATCAGACGCATCCGATTTGAGCGGCAATACCAGTTTTCTCGAAATCATGAAAAGCTCAGAATTTCCACTAGCCGCTCCTACGGAGGAAATCTCTTGGATTCCCTGCTCACCATTATGCAAGTAATATATTTCATTTGCCTGATTTCTCCAGCCTGTGAGTTCTGTAATATTTGCGACACAATTTGCCAAAATGTTTGTTTAATAACCGTTACGAAAGCCCGAACCCTGTTATTATCCCGCGATTTCAGCGAATGGTTATCCTTTGGCTTTTATTCTCCCCTATGGCGCTTACCACGGTGGCTCTTTTCTAGGCGTACTGTGGCTTTGGGAAACGGATTATCGCATGGTGCATAGTGGCGCACTAGCTCAAACTTCAACCAGTGCGCTTCTGTGCAACTGGCCCCTGTCTCCTGCTGTGCCAATCACAAGCATTCATTGTGCTGGTGTCCTTTATACTAGTCGACGGATTACTTTTAAAGGAATGTTCGACATTTGAAGATATTGAAGCAAACATCAGATATAATGAAATAAACTCACTTGTAACTATTGTTATACTTTTAAGTGAAAAGGCTGTTGTGGGCAACGCAATTTCTCCGCTTAGCAAACGTGCTCCTCAATACGTCATTGCTTGGCCACGCCGTTTTACCTTGCACAACATTTTTTTAGAGCAAATTGACGGCCGTTTTATCTGGAAATCATGCTCATGAATGCCAGATCGGAGCGACTTGACAAACGTATTTTTGTTGGCTTTGATCGCCGCATAGCCAGTGGCATGGCATGATTTGAATAACGTCATTATGGTGTCGTGGATGCCTGGGTAACCTTGGAATAGTCTCCCCGAAATAGTCTACACGTCTTCGCGGACGTTTAGCTCAGAAACTAGGTTGCATGTCCTTAGAAGGGCAGGGCTGTGAAGTGCACTGCAATGATCGTCAAGACGGACATTTCAGTTCAAAACCCGATACAAATGTGGAGCGTAACCTTACAGCCCAGTTTCCCGAGGCGACGTCTCGCGTTACCGCGACGGCCGCCGGCGCGCGACGACAGCCGCCCAGCGTGCCGCTGCGATTGCTGACGTCACACGTTTGGCTAGCTACGTCACACGTCATTCGCCAACGGCTGGTTTCCATAGCAACGGCTTGTCGCGTTACGACGCGCTCCGGGAGAGGGGAGGGTGGGTGGGTGCGTGCCGCCGCCGTCGGGATGGTGTGTGGGGAGGGGGGGGGGAGTGCGCATGTTACAAAAAAAACAACAAAAAAAACGTTGCCGTGAGAAGAATATTGACTTGAGAGAAATGAAAAGTTTGCGTTGTTCAGACTCGAGTTGCATAATCATCCTGCTCTCAACGCGCGCCTCCGTGGTATCACCCCAAGACGAATCTGGACTTGAGAGACGTTTAGTTGGCTGACCTCAGCCTGAGCCTCTGGTTAAGGGGTACTTCTGGGGCCACGCCCGTTGGAAGTGGCATAAGCCCCTTGCGGGCAGAAGGCTCAGCATTTTTTTGACAGTTTGGGACGTCCGAAGGGTGTTCTGAAGGCCTTGTAAGACTTAGAAGCGGGTCTGGTGACATAAGAATAGCATTCCGATCCTGAAAACTACTCTGAATAAAAAAGCGCACGACGGAGCAATGAAGAGGAGGCTGCCCGACTGAGCGGCCCCATGTGACCGATTTCTCCACCTTCCTCCCTGGCTCTGCCACTGGCCAGAGTCGAAACGGATTTTAGATGTCAGTGGCTGTCATTGGTATTGCATTACCAACGAAACTGCACGTGATTGCTGCAGAGTATTGGGCGGACCACGGGCGGGGGAGGGACGTGTGAAGCATGTCGAAGGGAAAGGAGGGCACAACTAAAGCCTATTCGCTGAAAAAGTGATTTTGTTTTCACGAAAATTGTGACTTGACGTGAGACGTGGCATTATCTTAATCTCATTTTTTGTGTCTCATGAATTTTTAAGTGATCATTCATTCGCGCGCACGTTAATACAGTGATACATATGGTGAAGGGTGGGTACATATCCCAGGAAGCATGATGGAAGTACGCCCCTGACGCGGACACTTGATTGTTGCCGAGGGGATGAACGTACCTGCTCCGGTTGAAATGTTGGGAGGTCCAAATTGTATATGCAAACACGACTCATGCACCAGTCCGATGACCCACGCGACAGCCTGACGCTCCACGCTACAGTCCGGCACGAACACTCGCCCGAGTATCCAGTGTGCTCTTTGCTCCTCGCGGGCCAAGGACCGGGACCACGGCAACAGAGGCTCAAGGTTGCAGCATGAGCTATACACCAACCGAGTCACTACGAAACGAAAAACTTCACGCTCCCAATCCTCGCCATAGTGCCGCGCTTTTCGCTCTCTTCTGCGACGTCGAAGATAGGTGGCGGTAGTTGCCTGTTGTCTTCTCCAGATGATATCCAAAGCCCCATTCAGTGCAACACAGGCGTGAGTGCCTGTACCTCAGGGCCCGTGCCATCAACGTGCCGGCTGCGCCTGAGCAGCCGCGACTAAAACTCCTACGGTGAATTTGCTGGTCCGTTGTTAAACATCGGTGTCGGTACCAAGGCCCGAAATGACAGAAAGGGAGACGCGTTCAGAGAGGGATGGACCATGAAGAATGAGGAACACTTGACAACAGCAACCATCTGCCTAGTTCTGGCTGCTAATATGTCAGCAGCGGACAAACAATACCCAGATCAGTAAACGTTCATCGTTTACAACAGCGGGGCGAATAAACGAAAGACGCTAGCGTGATTCTCACACAGCAGTAGCGTCACCTATCGGTGACCGTACTCGTTGAGGTATTGGCCTCGTCCCGCTGCAATAGCCCTTATAAGACTCGTTCAACGCAGGTTCGTAAATGCAGTTCATTACAACGCTGCCACTTATAGCACAACATTACGACGAAGGATAGTGATATGGTTAAGCGCATATCGCTCCACCTAACCGCGCCGGTGACACCAGCGCGTTTTCTGATTGAACAAATGCGTTCCTACGTCATCCCGTCTACCACATACGTCACTTGCCGGCGGTAGGCGGCGGTCGCTGCCGCGCCGACGACCGCAGATGTCGCTCGGGCGGCCGCAGTTGCCGTTGACGCGGCAGGATCGCTGGAACGGGCACCTGTCTACTGGACTTAAGTCCGCAGGCCCGCAATGTGCGGACTAAAACAGCCCCAAAGTGGTAACTCTAACCCGCAACAGCTGGCCACGGCCTTCAGCAGATCCTGCCGTCGTCATAACGATAGTGATCGCGCCAGCTACAGTTGTCGTGGACTTTGGACAGCTTCACTTCAGCACTACACGTCTTCCCCTGGGTGAAGTGGAGTGCTGTTGCAAAGCCCTTGACGGCATAACTTCGACTCGAAAATAACGCCAATTTACACCCTTACCATATCTTAATTGTGCTACATTGGTGCAACCGAGAGTTTTTATTAAGCTAAATGATCGTGAGATTTCACCAGAATATGTTTTAGAAATAGACCCTAAAGCTAGCACACTCCTCTGAAAGAGAATGTTTCATTTTGGAAGATATAGAAGCGAGCAGCAGGTGTGATGACAAGCTCATTTAAAACTATTGGTATGCTTTTAGATGGAAAAGACCGCTCTAGACAGCGAAATTTCGCCGTTTAGTAAAGATGATCCTCAATACGTCATTGTTTTATTGCGTCATGGAACGTTTGTATGACATAGATGTGCTACCAGACTGGCCGTTTCAAAATAACCCCT